AAAAAAAAAAAAAAAAAAAAAATCAAACGAATGATCATGTCTGACTTGATTGTTTATAGTTCATGGTGCGTGATCAAAACTGAAAGTTTCTGTGATAGGACTGCCCTTGCACTGTTCACCATGTACGAGCTTATTCACTATGTAAGAACTTGTTCATTATATTTCAGAAGATTGGAGACTGTTGAGAATTAGGCTTGGGGTTGATTAATGATTATGCATTGAGTCCCCTATACAGAATTTTATAGTTGTTAACAACCATTTGATCAATAAATGTGAGAGGTGCCCTCTCAAAAAAAAAAAGATGGGTATATAAACCACTATTCCAATTGATCTTTAGTGGGAAGTACATCTGTATGCATATTCATGTGGGTTTGTCAGTCCTTTTTTTTGTCCTAGAATTTTATATGACAAGCTGTATTTTTTGATATGAGCAAAGTACAGAGTTGGATGATCACTCTACATGCAAGGTCTAGACATGCTGATTTCCATTCCCCCACATCCTTCCACCAAAGACCTGACCTGTCACTTCTGTCCTGTCCTTCAGATGAGGTTAGGTTCCCTCTTTATGTTCTCCTAGCACTCTGTGCTTCTCCATCGTAGCTTTTATTATACTGATAATTGTTCTTTGAATTCAGTGTTTACCATCTGTCAGTTGTTCTATAAGTTCCATGAGGCCTGAGATCCTGTCTGTCTTGCTCATTCTGTAGTCCCTGCACATAGAAGGATCTCAGTAAATATTTGAGTAAATGAATGATCCAGCTTGCCTGGTTTAGTCTGTCCTCTCCCTGCACATCCCCCTTTAGGAAAAAAAAATTTCTCAGTACATTGCCTTCTTTTGACAGCCTTATTCATAGGATTGTAATGCATTTAATTAGGATAGTTATCTTTCATGTCATTCTTATGGTCCTGGTAGCTTTATTTGGGCTTGTGTTTTCTCAGAAAGCTGTCAGACATGTTGACTAGCCAGCTTTTATAGTTTAGGCTATAGTTAGTTCGAGGGTTCATCTGTTGAGTGACTGGTTTTGTCAAGTTTCCCTTTCAGAGTCTTCATAAACACACATGGGTATCATATCTGATTGTTTGCAAACAGAAACTTGAGGCTTTCAGAAATCTTGGGCTTTCATACAGTGGCCCTTGGGTACATTCAGTGGGTCCCCCTCCAAAAAAGGGAACAACGCAATATATCAGTGTGCTGATATAATAAATCAATGAATATTAATATTTTATATAGAACTTTTGCTTCAGTTTTGCATGTATGTGTGTACTGGATTGAGATATAGCATATTTCTTACTGTAGATTATAGTTACAGTTTGAAAGCCACCACTCTGAGCTCTCCATTTCACTATGGCCCTTTGAATTCTCTAATTTACTTATCTGTTTTTGAATCTTAGCTCCCACTTTTCCTTGGCTGTTATTTGTCACCTAGATTTTCCCTATCCTTCAAATTGCTGCCCAAGTGCAGCCATCCTTTAGAACTCTTTAAACCTCATTTTGAGCTTTTGAAATTCTTATATTTTTTCGTGGCAACAATCATACTTCTTTTTTGTGTTTTTATTGAAATATTTCACTTATGTACGCTTTGCTCCCAGTCACACTGTTGGTTTAAATGAGTTTTTAGAGATCAGTGTTTATTTATGGAGCCTAAGTGGGGTTTTTTTTGGTAAGTGAATTTGGTTGAATTTAGATGAATTTGCCTAGGTATGTCAATATGTGATCTTATTTTCTTTATTTACCAGGTAAATCTGAAATGACCTAAATTCATCTCAAACATTTTTACTTTCCAAGTATTTTGTGTAGAAGCATTTAACTTAGGGGTTAGGGCATGTTCTGATGCTAAACTGCATGGATTCATGACCTGATTATCCAGTGTGACCTTGATGAGTTTCTTGACCTCCTTGCCTCAGTTTCTATATCTATAAAATAGAGGAAGACAGCGCTGACCTCATACTGTTCTGAAATAAAATAATAATGTAAAGAGTTCAGTAGTACATAGCAAATGCTCATTATTACTATTGTTACTCTTTTTACAAATCAAATTGTGAATTCTTATATAAAAATATCCATGTTTATGCTGTTTTTTAATAAAGCTAGTATCTCAGCCAAAGTAAAGTACTTTTTTTTCAATTGTCAAGTATTACAGAATCTGATTTTTGCCATACTACTTTTTTTTATGTGGATGGTAGTGAGGGTGGATAGGCACTTAACGTTTATTGAGTGCCTATGATATGTGAGGCCCTGTGTGGTGTGTTTTATCTTGTTTATTTCATTTAATCCGTCTAACCCTATGAGGCAAATGGTGTCCCTATTTTATATATAAACTGAAGTTTAAAGAGGTTGTCTCTTCACTCCATGTTGTATAACTATTAAAATGGGAAACCAGATTTAGCTGATATTCTAATTTAAAGTCAGGAGTTCCTTTATATTAAGTTAGATAAAATGATGTTTACATTGTTACTTGGGAATTCTAGTAAATGTGCCTTTATATTGTTTAAGGTTTGTATGTAACTCTGTATATTTAAAAGTAGCTGTGAGCATGACTAAAATATATAGACTAAAACCTTACATTATTTTCCAAATATATGTGTCATTTGATGCTGATTTTATTTTTTCTTTAAGCTGCTAGTCTGTGGGGTCCTTACAAAGATATTTGGCAAACAGTGGGAAATGCTCTGTGGAGAAGACAACCTGAAGCTGTCCACCTTCTTGACATGATTTTGAAGAAACACAAACCTGACTTCATCTCATTGTTCAAAAACCCAGTAGGAAATTCTCTTTTTTGTTTCTTGGGATTTGCCTTTTTTTAAAGATTGAGGAGCAGTTCAAGTCTTAGTGCATGTTTATAAAATATATTACTTGACCATGTCCATTGCTTCAAGTTTTCTCTAAACATGTAATTTTTCCTAGGAGCAGTAATTATCTTCTTTTTGTTTTCTGTAGAAGTTAATATTGTATTTATCTCTACCTATGAAACATTAACTGAATATGACTTAGAAAGTTCAGTATATTCCAAAAATATGAGTTACCTTGGAATTTCTGATGTATAGTAAATACATCTAAGCTCAGTTAAGATTATTTTATTTATTTCCAGGTGCATCAACATTTTAACTCTTCATAATGTTATCTAAGTTGTGTTAGCTGAACTACTTAATTCTTATGTATCATTAATCTCTGCGTTTTGAAATCCTTCTCAAGCAGGCATAGAGTGCTTCAGCGGAGGGAATTCATATTTGGAAACTCCTTTGCTTGCTGTTTGGCAATTTTCTGTTACAAACTAACCAGACCAGCTAAGAACTATTAGGGGTTTGTCTTACCAAAAATGGCCTTCTGCTTTTTCAGTTGTTTTTTTGCTCCCTTTAGTAGAGAGAACCTTAGCTTGGAAGCCAGTTGGTAGAGCTCAGTTCTAGTCTAGGTTCTACACTAAAGGTGTAGACCTACAGGGAAGTTACCTGACTTATCTGGGCATTAGTTTTCCCATCCTTTAAAGAAGAGTTGGATTAAATGACCTTTTGTGGTCTTTTTCAAGGTGTAAATTTTTAAGATTTTTATCATTGATCAAGTAATTCTATACTATGCCATTTGTTAAATATTTGAACCAAGACTTTTGGGGAATAAGGTTACATTCTAAATAATATTTTAATAAACTATCATTAGTCCTATAATCAGTTCAACAATTCATATATCCATTTGCTATTTCCCCTCTTGGAGACCTATTATTTTTACCTATTAAGTATATAATTGGAAGAATTCCTTAGAAACTTGAAAAATATTGTTACTTTGTGTGCTTTCTCAAGATTTTGTAGTTCACAGTTTAGCAGAAGCAGTTCTTGGAAAAGTAGTAATAGTATAAAAAGTTGAAGGTAACTCAAAATGTTACCTTATAATAGACTAATTGTAGATTATCTGATAAGCAATACTGTTTTTGGTCGTGTTATCAAACTGCCTTATCATTAACTTCTCTAGGTAACAATTTAAGACCTTGTCTCCAGTATACTGTTTTCATTACATGATCTTGTATTTACCTTTGTAGCCAAAAAATGTTCAACAACACGAGAAGGTTGAGAAAGCCAGTACAGAGGGAGTCGCCATCCAGGGTCAACAGGGGACCCGACTGCTTCCTGAACAGCTCATTAAAGAGGCCTTTATCCTCAGTGACCTTTTTGATATTGGAGAATTGGCAGCTGTTGAGCTTCTGCTGGCTGGTAGGTTAGCATTTAGCTGAACGTGTAGCAAGGTAGTACAGAATTATAAAATTATTCACTGGGAGTTTAAAGCACATATCATTTAGATCCCAGAATAGCTTCTAAAGATGTAGTTTATTTGAAAAACTATATTCAAGATATTTCCTGTTGTTAATCTTTGAATCAGGGTAGGTTTTAGTAATTGGAGTTGTTAAAGGTGATGTAACTGGTTTAAGATAGGCTTTTGCTTGGTAATTTACTAGCAAAGAATCATTGATGACTGCATCTCCGAAATTTAATAGCACGAACATTTATTGTCATATAATGAGTAAGAAGGTATTTTTGGAGTTTCTTTTTTGAGAGGGTGATTCAGATAATGAGTAGGTCAAAAATTAGATCATTTTAATAATACTAAGAACTAGGAAGAAAATAAAATAAGGCTATATAGATATATATATATCCCTACATAGATATATGGATACAGTGGGATACAAAGAGATGTGCTGTGGTATGGGGCAACTCTCACTACCTCCACTTAGTTAGGGAAAGCCTCTGAGATTGGGCCATTTGACCTGAGACCTGCAAGATGATGAGGTGCCCGAGCTGTCAGGAGAGGATGTTGCAGCAGAGCGAACAGCAGCGGCTTGAGGTGAGAACAAAGGCTCACTGAAGGATGAAAAGACCCCTGTGGTGGCAGCATCACACCCAAGGGGGAGAGTGAAGGAAGATGAGGCTACTATAGGATTTAGATCATGGCCTATTTTGCAAGCCACAAAAATTATTGGAATTTTATTCTAATCGCAATGGGAAGTTGTTGACAGGGGCTTTAATCAGAAGAATTACATAATCCAGAATAATTTTAAAATTTCTCTGGTTTCTATATAGAAAAAAGATTGGAATTAACATAAAATAAGCAATTTAATTATGGGGATACTTCATTTTATTGCACTTCACTTTAGTTGCCTCACAGATATTACCTATGAAACATTAACTGAATATGACTTAGAAAGTTCAGTATATTCCAAAAATATGAGTTACCTTGGAATTTCTGATGTATAGTAAATACATCTAAGCTCAGTTAAGATTATTTTATTTATTTCCAGGTGCATCAACATTTTAACTCTTCATAATGTTATGTAAGTTGTGTTAGCTGAACTACTTAATTCTTATGTATCATTAATCTCTGCGTTTTGAAATCCTTCTCAAGCAGGCATAGAGTGCTTCAGCGGAGGGAATTCATATTTGGAAACTCCTTTGCTTGCTGTTTGGCAATTTTCTGTTACAAACTAACCAGACCAGCTAAGAACTATTAGGGGTTTGTCTTACCAAAAATGGCCTTCTGCTTTTTCAGTTGTTTTTTTGCTCCCTTTAGTAGAGAGAACCTTAGCTTGGAAGCCAGTTGGTAGAGCTCAGTTCTAGTCTAGGTTCTACACTAAAGGTGTAGACCTACAGGGAAGTTACCTGACTTATCTGGGCATTAGTTTTCCCATCCTTTAAAGAAGAGTTGGATTAAATGACCTTTTGTGGTCTTTTTCAAGGTGTAAATTTTTAAGATTTTTATCATTGATCAAGTAATTCTATACTATGCCATTTGTTAAATATTTGAACCAAGACTTTTGGGGAATAAGGTTACATTCTAAATAATATTTTAATAAACTATCATTAGTCCTATAATCAGTTCAACAATTCATATATCCATTTGCTATTTCCCCTCTTGGAGACCTATTATTTTTACCTATTAAGTATATAATTGGAAGAATTCCTTAGAAACTTGAAAAATATTGTTACTTTGTGTGCTTTCTCAAGATTTTGTAGTTCACAGTTTAGCAGAAGCAGTTCTTGGAAAAGTAGTAATAGTATAAAAAGTTGAAGGTAACTCAAAATGTTACCTTATAATAGACTAATTGTAGATTATCTGATAAGCAATACTGTTTTTGGTCGTGTTATCAAACTGCCTTATCATTAACTTCTCTAGGTAACAATTTAAGACCTTGTCTCCAGTATACTGTTTTCATTACATGATCTTGTATTTACCTTTGTAGCCAAAAAATGTTCAACAACACGAGAAGGTTGAGAAAGCCAGTACAGAGGGAGTCGCCATCCAGGGTCAACAGGGGACCCGACTGCTTCCTGAACAGCTCATTAAAGAGGCCTTTATCCTCAGTGACCTTTTTGATATTGGAGAATTGGCAGCTGTTGAGCTTCTGCTGGCTGGTAGGTTAGCATTTAGCTGAACGTGTAGCAAGGTAGTACAGAATTATAAAATTATTCACTGGGAGTTTAAAGCACATATCATTTAGATCCCAGAATAGCTTCTAAAGATGTAGTTTATTTGAAAAACTATATTCAAGATATTTCCTGTTGTTAATCTTTGAATCAGGGTAGGTTTTAGTAATTGGAGTTGTTAAAGGTGATGTAACTGGTTTAAGATAGGCTTTTGCTTGGTAATTTACTAGCAAAGAATCATTGATGACTGCATCTCCGAAATTTAATAGCACGAACATTTATTGTCATATAATGAGTAAGAAGGTATTTTTGGAGTTTCTTTTTTGAGAGGGTGATTCAGATAATGAGTAGGTCAAAAATTAGATCATTTTAATAATACTAAGAACTAGGAAGAAAATAAAATAAGGCTATATAGATATATATATATCCCTACATAGATATATGGATACAGTGGGATACAAAGAGATGTGCTGTGGTATGGGGCAACTCTCACTACCTCCACTTAGTTAGGGAAAGCCTCTGAGATTGGGCCATTTGACCTGAGACCTGCAAGATGATGAGGTGCCCGAGCTGTCAGGAGAGGATGTTGCAGCAGAGCGAACAGCAGCGGCTTGAGGTGAGAACAAAGGCTCACTGAAGGATGAAAAGACCCCTGTGGTGGCAGCATCACACCCAAGGGGGAGAGTGAAGGAAGATGAGGCTACTATAGGATTTAGATCATGGCCTATTTTGCAAGCCACAAAAATTATTGGAATTTTATTCTAATCGCAATGGGAAGTTGTTGACAGGGGCTTTAATCAGAAGAATTACATAATCCAGAATAATTTTAAAATTTCTCTGGTTTCTATATAGAAAAAAGATTGGAATTAACATAAAATAAGCAATTTAATTATGGGGATACTTCATTTTATTGCACTTCACTTTAGTTGCCTCACAGATACTGCATCTCTTACACATTGAAGGTTTCTGACAACCCTGAATGGAGCAAGTCTGTTGGCGCCATTTTTTCAGTAGCATTTGCTCACTTTGTGTCTCTGCCACATTTTTGTAATTCTTGCAATATTTCAAACTTTTTCTTTGTTATGATGTTCTATGGTCAGTGATTATGACTCACTGAAAGCTCAGATGATAAAGTAGTTTTTAACTGAGGTATGTACTTTTTTTTTTAGACAGTGCTATTGCACACTTAATAGACTGTAGTATAAATTTAACTTTTTTATGTACTGGGAAACCAGAAATTCATTGGACCCACTTTACTGTGATAATTCACTTTATTGGGATGGTCTGGGACTGAATCCACAATATCCCTGAGGTCTGCCTATATAACAGAGGAGCCATGTGGTCATTTTAACTGAAAGAAAGTCTGGAATGTATAAAGTAATGTGGCCGCCAAAATCGTTTTTGACGTAAGGCTGTATTACAAGAAGCATGATTCTGAGAATGAGAAAGATAATGTTCTCTTTCTACAGTAGTCGTGTTAACTGGATATGCTTGAGTTTTAACTCAGAATTTCGGTTTAACAAATATTTGTTTTATGTCACTCATGGGCCAGGGACTGTGTTAAGACCCCAGAGATAGAAAGATGAATAAAACCTCAACTACTGTTAAGGAGCTCATAGTCGAGGAATTGAAAAAGACATGGAAACAAATAATTATGACACAATTAAGTGCATTATTGCCAGTTTATGCAATATTTAATCATGGTCCAGAGGGAAGGGGATTAAATTGACCTCAGGTGGTACAGAGATCACAAAGATCATGAGGCCTAAAGTAGGTGTTGAGAAACAGGGAGGCATACGTCAGGAGAAACAGATGTGCACTCAGGAGGACAAAGGGCATCCAGGCAGAAGAAAGCGCCTATTTAGAGGAGTGAGACAGTGAGATGAGTCTGGGGAACAGGAGGAGTGGAGTGATTGGGCTAAGAGGAGAAGAAAGCCATTGGAAATGGCACAGAAAGTATAGGTAAGGTACTCTAGGAAAGACAGAGTGGAACTTACTCAGAGGAGAACAGTTAAAGGAGCTAATAAACTTGGAATGTAAGAAAAGGTTATTTGCTTTTTAGAGAAAACTGTAGGGGAAGAAATTTCAGGTATATGAAAGATTTCATGTGAAAGAGAGCAAAATGGGCATTAAATAATGTTAGATTCAGTGAATAACAGTGAAACCAAAGATTTTTACCCAGCAGATGGAGATCTTAGATGAAGATGAAATGGAGATTTGGGGAAATGATAAATCCCATGTTACTGCTGGTTTTCCGGCATAAGCTGGATGGCCTCTTGAATATGTTGGGGAAGGAGTAAAACTGGTTGTTGAAGTAAAGAGAGGACCCGGAGGACCCCTTAAACTCTGAGATTCTGGGATTTCTTTCTCATCCTAATTACGTATGTGTTTATTGACCAAATTATTTCTCAATGTCCTTTTCTAGGAGAGCACCAACAGCCACATTTTCCTGGCCTCACCAGAGGATTAGTAGCTGTTCTTTTATACTGGGATGGAAAGAGGTGCATCGCAAATTCCCTGAAAATCTTGATACAGTCAAGACGAGGAAAGACATGGACCCTTGAACTCAGGTCTGTTTGCTTCTTAGGATCTCAGGGGTTAATTAGAGATTATTTGGAGCATCATTATTCTAATTATAATTTGAAATCACAGAAATTTATCCTTAGTATGCATAATTTAAGTAAAATAAAATATGTAACATAAGCTGAGTAGTAAATCCTGCCAAGAGTGACAATTTAAGTCTGCTTTATTTTGTCTACAAATAAGAAAGAATTAAGTTTTTTCATGGTTGAAAGTTTACTGAAGCCCAGTAATCTAGAAAGATATAAAGAGCTAGGTTATAATTCATCCTGGTCATTTCCAGTAATGCAATATTATTGTCAAAAGCACATTTGCTCTATCTTGGAATTATAAACATTACTGTTCATTATAACTGTCTTTATTGATTTCATTACAGTCCAGAGCTGGTTTCCATTACAACACGCTTTACAGATGAGCTGATGGAGCAAGGATTGACCTATAAAGTCCTTACTCTGGTGTCCCAGATTGATGTGAACAATGAGTTTGAGAAACTACAGCGTGAGAGAGGATTGGGCAGTGAAAAACATCGCAAAGAGGCAAGGGTTCACTGAGATTAATTCATGGGTTGTCTTTGTCAAATCTCATAGGTAGAAATGTCATGACAATCAGAACATTCTAATACAGGTTTAGGAAAATTGATTAATGCACATCAAAGGGTGTGGGCAGCTGCATTCAAAATGGACTTGCATTTGTTTCAGTTTCTTCGTAGGCACTTATCTGTCATTCTAGCTTCTTTTCTGGAATGAACTCTCTAAGAAATTGTTCATCGTGTAGAGGAGTTTGGAACTTAAAATGGAGAATTAGTGATACTTTTTTTTAAGAATTCTGGAGATGAGATTTTAGGGTCACTTGTGGATTCAGATTTATTTAGTTAGCTTTTATGAAAGAGAGTTTACTTTTTTAAATAAGAAGGCTTCACTGTAATTTATTTATGTTGATAATCATACACTTTTATTTTCTAGGTTTCTGATCTCATCAAGGAGTGCAGGCAGTCTCTGGCAGAAAGTCTTTTTGCCTGGGCATGCCAGTCACCTTTAGGCAAAGATGACACTCTACTCCTAATTGGATATTTGGAAAGAGTGACAGTTGAGGCAAATGGTTCATTGGATGCAGTGAACCTGGCTCTTCTTATGGCACTTCTGTACTGCTTTGATATCAGTTTTATAGAACAAGGCACAGAGGAACGAGATGGTACTGGATTTTATACCTAGTAATACATTTATTTTTTAAAATCACATAAAAAGTTGTTGTCAGTCACATTTAGTAGTTGAAACTACCCTAAAATGAAATAGATATAATAGATTGTTAATTGCTAAAATAAAAAGCTATATGTTTTATTCCACTGTGTGCAGTTCATCCATATTTGAATATTTAGATATTAGATCACATTTTAAAAATAACTGCAACCCTCTTAGATGTTTCTGTTGTCCTTTTGAGTTTTGAAATGGGAAAGTGTAACACACGTTCATGAGCTGTGCATGTTTAGTTTGCTTAATTGCTCATTTTTTCACTGTGTGTTCACATTTTAAACCTTTCATGAAAACATCTGAAGGGAGGATAACTATTATTTTTGGTAATGTATCATCTTTGACTTAACATTTTTTCTGAAGAAGATTAAAATTTTATATGGTAACCATATAAACAATTATTGCTTAGAACTGAGTATCTCAAAAATTATTCCTATAAGGAATATTATTGCCATTTAATGTCATAGTTTTTGTAATTGTGCCAGTGGTTATTCCCTGTCACTTTTGATTATATCAACATCTCCTCTTAGTAGCTATGTGAGAACAGACATTTCCCACACCTTTGGTGACCATCTTTAGCCATTAGGAAAGGCTTATTGAAACTACCCCTTGACCTCCAGTCAGGTTGTCCCAGAGTACTTTGTCACAGAAGTAGCACCTATGCTCATAAAGGAACTCTGCCAGTTAATGCATTGGTCAGATTTCCTGTATTGAATGAAATGGAGCATAGAAGTAAGTGTGGATAGGCTGTGTAAATGGAAGTTTGTAATCTGGGACTTTGTAAAGCTAAATGGAATGTCTGGAAAGTTTCATAGGCTAAGATGTAAGGTTTTTTGCATTAGTTATAATTGTATCAATGTAGCATGCTTATATTGATTGGCTCATTTTAATTATAATTTGTTCTATATTCTTTGATTAATAAGTGGGAGGTGAATTATTAGTACATGTACAGTAGTAGACAAACTTTCAAAATAGAAGAAATTAAAGGATATGTTCTTACTGGTTAAATGTTGGGAACCACTGAACTAATTAATCACAAAATGATATCAAAAGGAAGTATAAGGCATAATAAAGTAAAATTAAGTGAATTCTTAGGTAATGGTGTTTCTCATTATTTTAGTATTTTGAATTCTGTGCTTGCTTAAAGTACCATAGTGTAATTGACTATAAATTGAAAATTATTTAGCTATTTCATTTATGTTATGATCAGAGTAGATACTTGTTTGCAATTTGTATCCTTTGTTTTGGTCAGTTTTCGCTAGATATTTTAAATTCATGCTAGCATTTAGTAAATTCCAGCTTTTTTTTTTGAACTTTTAATTAGTATTGATTTATATTAGAATTCATATACAGAGAAAATGAGTAGCTCTTTTAACTAGTGTTCTAATATTTTTCTACTACACTTATAAAAACTGTTGAAAACAACGAAATTTAGGATTATTGTAGATTTCCTCTAAATTTTATTTTGTATAAATATTTATGGTAGTGTACTTTCTGGTTTGTCAAACATTAATATTAGTCATAATTCTTTGATGAGTATATTCTGATCTTCTGATTTTTAGACATTATTCCTGTATATTAAAAGTGAGAATTTCTTTACTTTTTGGTAGAGTGGTCTATTTTTGTGTTTTCAGATAAGATTCATCAACTCCCACTCTTGACAGAGAGACAATACATTGCAACAATTCACTCTCGCCTTCAAGACTCACAGCCTTGGAAACTGCCTGGACTGCAAGCCACTGTTAGGCTTGCCTGGGCACTGGCTTTGAGGGGAATATCTCAGCTACCAGATGTGACAGGTAAACTGATTGTAGGTAATGTTGTTATGAGAAAGAACATACCAGCCTTAATGGTATTTTGGAAGAGTGTGTTACCTTTCAGTGGATGTAAGCTTGAACATAAGAAGGTATCTAGAATTGTATTAAATGAAACTTTGTAAATGTGAAATACTGTCCATTTTTTCTTTTTGTCTCCCAAAGGAAATTATGTGAAATATTTCCCTTATGTGGAGCCAGTGACAATTCTTTCAGCTTCTTTTTTCCTTAAGAGTTTAAAAATTGAAATGACAGCATCACAATTGAAATTATTCCACTTGTTTTACTTTTTTCTTTTTTTTTCCACAAATTAATTTTTTACAATGTATCAAATTAGAAACGTATTACTTTAAAAATACAGTATATTAGAAAGGAGATTTTTGGATGGATCAGGAATGGTTATGGAATTCTTACTTTTAACAGTCTTTTAACCACTATAGCATATCCTATTCTGCTGTTTACATTCATGTAATTATCTAACTCATAGCGGCTTACTCTTAACAGGATGAGGTTTATACTTTTGTTGTAATTTGAAGCCCAAAGAACTGTCACTTGTTTTTATGTTAAATCTGGAAAGATTTCATTAAGGTTTATTATTCATGTCAATGTTTTCTATTCCTGGAGTGTCAGCAGATTCCAGTATCTTACCAATTGTGTGATTCAAGAACATTTTGTTCACTGGTGTCAGTGCTGTCCCCGAGGGGGCTGCAGAAAGCATTTTTTGTTTTACGAGTCTTACTTTGGCCAAGTGCTTTTTATATTAAACTTGATAGATGGCTAACTAGATATTTCTATTCATGTAGAAATTCTGTTTCTGAACTATATATCCTTTATTAATTTACAAGTTTTATTTAGTACTTTCTGGCATAAAATTAACTTTTAAACTTTTAAGTGTCTATGTGATAGTTAATCAGATGTATGTACTGTAACTGACTGTACCATTGCCCTAATCTTGAGAGGCACAGTAGAATATGTTACAGTTTGCTGTATAATAATAGGTAAGAATAGACTAGGAACTCAGACCCAGTTTCAAGTCCCAGATTTTGGCTATTTAATCTCTTTAGTTTTATATGCTCATACTTTTTTATGAGCTCTAATAATTAGGGGTATTATAATTAACATTTTTAAACTTAAAGATTTTTCTGTAAATCTGAATTTTAAAAATTGCTAGCAAAGATGAATAATTTACCTTTTATTGCACAAATGGTCATTTCTTGAAATAATATAGATAACTTTTAACAGTGGTCTCAAATTTTAAAAAATGAGTCACTACTCTCTTCATAGACTTCTGAAAAATTTATTAAACATCTTTACTACATTAATTTATATGCAGTGTGCTTGGAATTTTTCTAAAACTACAAAGTTTTGATGCACTGTTTTTTAGACATTAAAACTTAATTTACATTAAGATATTAATGCTGCTTTATTACCTAAATAGTCTTCAAGAAATAGTTCTTTAAGTAACCATCATGCAATTTTTAATTCTAGTATTTCTGAACTCAAGTGGTTTGGAATTAATCATTATTATTATTAACATTTATTAGTAATTTTAGTAATTATTATTAGTCATAATAAAGAATTAAAAGACTATTTTTTTCTCAAGGAGTTTGTATAATATGAGTAGATATACAGGCTTTACTTCAAAATGCAAAACAAAACAAAAAAAATAGAAAAAAAACATCTATTTTCCTCTTCTTGAGATTGTTCTGGCTTATATCTATTCCTAACACTTTTGAAGTCAACAAAAATGTGCTTTCTGCAGCACAGTAGTATGTATTTGGTCTCTATGACAGTCAAGCAGAATAAGCTATGTAGCAGTTCTTTTCCAAAGCCAGATTATCACAAAATTATGTAGCGATTTTATATGTAAAATTTAAAAGAAGTAATCAGCAATGTATTTCCTAGTTGAAGGACACAATGCCACTTATGACATGCTCTTGTCAAAAAAACTGAATGTTGATCAAGTCTCTTTAGATCAAACTACCAATTATTAGTATATTGGGAGGACAGAGGAATGTTAACTACACCCCTGGGATACATCCCGAACCACATTGTGGCAAACTGTATAGTGCAAAAGCCCAAGCTTCTTCAGCAAATAAAGGGCAAGGGAAAAATTAAAAAGATGTAGGAGCAGCCGGCAGATGTACCTGTGAACTGCAGTGTGTAGATCCTCCTTGGCTCCTGATGTAAGCAAACATACTGCACAAAAGAGAAAAAGCAAAAACCATAAGCAGGATCTTTCATAACATTGATGAGACAATTGTAAATTTGACTACTGCCTGGATATTTGATATTGGGAGTTATTTTTTAAGATAACATAGTGGTATTATGTATGTGTATGGTTTATTTTTCTTCTGTTTTTAAAGTTAACCTTTTTGAGTTGTATGCTGAATTACTTATGAGTGATATGTTGAATTGTCCAGCATTTGCTTCAGTTTAATTTGTGTGGAGAGGGGAAATAAGATGGAGATCTAGGTGAAATAAGATTGACCATAAATGGTCAATATATTCAAATATTGAAGCTAGGTGGGGGGTATGTGGAGGTTCTTTATATTGGTCTATTTTTAGATAGCTGTTTGACATTTTTAAGCTAAAATAATTACAAGTAGACCAGTTCATTTAGGATATAGTTTTTCCATTTTTGCTATTCAGTTGCCAAATTAGGAAAGTTACTTAGGAGATCATGTTCATGTTTTGGTCTTACATGTTAGTCATGAAGACTTTCTGAATGATCCAGTTCATTTCATCGGGAGGAAAGCCTTAGTATCATTTTCATATGTTAATGTTTTGATAATAGCTTCCTAACTATATCAGTGTCACATCACATATCTAATTTTTTTTCATTCATGATGTTACTGTGAAGAGCATTTGGTTTTCTAATGTACTTTTTCAATAGTTCTTTGGGATTTGTGAATCTGTTAGTTATACACAGTCTTATTTTTTGGATAGCACATGCTATAAGGTTGAAAAAATAACTGAATTTTGAAAGAGCAGACTGTTAGGAGATACTGCGGTCCAGTTTTATAACTTTTCCTTTGTGTGTTGGTTTTGTGAATTTATTTGTAGCTCTGGCTGAATTCACAGAAGCAGATGAAGCAATGGCAGAGCTTGCAATCGCTGACAGTGTTTTCCTGTTCCTTACTGAGTCTGTAGTGGTGTCGGAAAACTTCTATCAGGAAGAGTTTTACATTCGTAGAACCCATAATCTCATCACAGATTTCCTTGCACTTATGCCAATGAAAGTAGGTATAATAATGTAGGATGAGTAAATAGTAGAAGAATTTTATAAAGTAATTTAAAACTGATCAATTAACTAATAAAATCTTTTATTACAGGCTAAAATTTGACAGTGGTTGTGTTACAGTGTGTGAATTAGTTTGTGATTCATGAAAATGAAATAAGACCTGTTAACTAAGAATAAGCTAAAAGAAATATATGACATTAAGAATGGTTTATAATGAGAAAGTACTAGTTAAATAAAATACTTCTATGGGTAGAAAATTATTAACACCATGCTACCCTAGGGATCAATACTAAGGTGATTTTGAGGAGATATTGTGGAAAGTCTCCTGTTTTATAGTTAATGTTTAGACTCTTAATTATAATGTATAAATGGGCTTCCACATGGATATAGGTAACATAATGGATTTAAAAAGCTAATGCAGATCAAAACCGAAAGTTTCGGTGATGACTGCCCTTGTACTGTTCACCGTGTAAGAACTTATTCACTATGTAAGAATTTGTTCACCATCTAAGAACTTGTTCATTATGCTTCAGAAGATCGGAGACTGATGAGAACTAGGCTTGGGGTGGATTAATGATTGTGCATTGAGTCCCCTATACAGAATTTTATTGTTGTTAACAACCATTTGATCAATAAATATGAGAGATGCCCTCAAAAAAAAAGAAGCTAATGCAAAGGCTCCTTTTGAATGAAAGGGCTTGAGCTCTAACTTTAATCCAAAAAGTTAGTAATTTTAGACAGATTCTTCATAGTATATGCTCTATGTATCGTTTTGTGCCAAAGGAAGCCAACAAAATTGTGGCAGGAAGTAAGTGAGGGAGTGAAGTCCTATGAAATCACCTCTCTGTGCATTAAAAAAAGCATCTTAAAGTATCTACACTTGTAATACTGTTGTGCAGTTCTGATGCCATACCTCAGAACGTAAGGCAAACAAAGTACTCAGAATGGCAACAAACAAGGAGTGAAGTGCTTATTCATGATTTAATGAATTAAGTGTTTATTAAGTTTCTCCTATGTTCCAGGTGCTATGCTAGGAGTGTGAAGAAGACAAATAAGTAGGAGACTCATTCCCTGACAACAAAGAATTTATAATCTAGTTGAGAGAAGCATACACTGAAAGTATAGGTAGTCACAGTAAGTAAATGAGAAGTACAGACAGTAAATTCCTGTGGATTTAGCTCAGGACTAGAATAGTCCAGGAATACTTGAACAGGTAACATGAGTCCTCATCAACCTTGAAGGAGTTGATGGTTTAACATCACAGAATTTTGGAATAGGAAGAATTCTGCTAATCCTTTCATTTTACATTTGCAGAAATGAAGCCTCAGAAAAGTTAAGGGCTTAAAGTTTTTCCTAATTAATAGTCCAGATGGGATTGTGATTATGGAAAGATAATGGTTATCTAGAAAGTCGAAGTATGAGAGAAATTTGAATAGACAAATCATAAATAGCTTGGATGGGGTAAATAGTCAATTTAGTCACATAATTCTGGGATACTAAAATTTCTTTAACAGAAGAGTGGGTTATCTGTTTCTTAAATGAGCTGTGGTTGGTTGTGTCTGTCAGAGCATTTGTCCATTTCATTAAAATTGATTGACATAAAGTTATTCCTAATATTCTTGTATTTTAAATTTCTGTAGGATCTATAGTGGTGTATCCTTTTTCATTCTTGATATTGGCAACTTGTATCTTCTTCCTTTGTTTCCTAATTAAATTGGCTAGAGGCTTATCAGTTTTAATTGAATTTAACAAAGAAACCAGCTTTTAGTTTTATTGATTTTCTTGGACTTTATTTCCCTATTACTGATTTCTGTTCTTTATTATTTCTTCCTTTTGCTTTGGATTAAATATACCCTTCTTGTTTCAGTTTCTTAAAGTGGAAGCTTAGATTATTAATTTGAAAATTTTCTTTTTTTCTAAATATGAGCATTTAATATTAAACATTTACCTTCAATTACTGCTTTAACTGTGTCAGGTAAATATGATATGTTGTGGGAGGTTTTATTCAATTTTATATTTTATTATTTCTTTGAGACTTCTTTGATTGATGAGGGACTTCCTATATTTAGGGAACTTCCAGATAGCTCCCTGTAACTGACTTCTAGTTTATTTCAGTTGTGATCAGAGAACATTCTTTGTAGGATTACAATTCTGTAAAATTTGTTGAGTTTGTTTTATGACCTACAGTATGGCCTTCTTGATAAATGTTCTATGTGCATATGAAAGTAATGTATATGTATATATTATGCTTATGTTCTGTGAAATGTTCTGTACATGTCAATTAGGTAAACTTGGTTGATAGTGTTCCTCAAGTCTTCCGTGTCCTTTACTGATTTTCTGTGTACTGTTGATATTGAGAGGGGATTTATTGAAGATTTTTTTTTTAAATGTTCTCTTTCCACCTATAAGTGTGGGTTTATCTAGCTATGATTTTTTTTGTTTTAAAGGGAGAAGTACTTTCTTATTTAGTTGGCATTCAGTTCACAAAAATGTTGTAAGGTAATGGTTCTCAACCAAGGCTATAATATCCATCAGAGCATGTTTTGGAAATAAGTGGGGCCAGTTTTGCTTGCTACAATATTTGTAGTGGTATTAGTGGTTAGTAGGTAGTCTAGGGGTGCTTAACTATCCTGTAATGTTGAGGATAGTCCAACCCACTGAAGAAATGTCCTGCCCAAAATGTTTATAATGTTGCAGTTGAGAGACACTAGTTAAACTCAGCTTCTCTATAGTGGAAAGTGCATTGAAGTTTTAAGATATTAATATTATATGGATATTAATATTGCAATAAAATTCCTAGCATATTTCTCCATGTTATTAAAGTGAAATAGATATTTAAATATTTTCTATAATCACTTTTAGACAGTTGCCCAACTTCCTGATTCAGTATTATCAACCCATGTAATAAATTCAACATTAAACTATGTACTACATTTAATAGGTGAAGCAGTTGAGGAATCGGGCAGATGAAGATGCTCGAATGATTCACATGAGTGTGCAGATGGGTAATGAACCTCCCATTTCACTTAGGAGGGATCTGGAACACTTAATGCTCTTGGTAAGCCATTATATTGGATGGATTGTCATTTGTCCTTCTTTCCTTTGTTTTCCTCCTAATTGGAAAATTTCAGGTCTAATATCTTAAATATACATGTAAATTCAATAAAAATGTGAATTTTTATTTTAAAGTAATTTTTGAGTTAATAAGCATTTTCCCACAGTCTTTGCTTACTCTTTGTAGATCGGTGAGCTGTATAAAAAGAACACTTTTAATTTGGAGCTGGCTCTAGAATATTGGTGTCCCTCAGAGCCTCTTCAGACTTCCACTCTCATGGGTTCTTACCTTGGGGTGGCTCATCAGCGCCCCCCTCAACGCCAGGTGAGCCCTTAGTTTCCTACTTTTCTACTTTGGTATGGTAATTGGGAATCTTGAAAACATGAAAAAGGTTATTTCTTTATATTACTGCTATTTACACAAATAACCACTAGAGTAACGTTTAGAAATGTACACTTTTTCTTAAAGGAAGTTTAAAGTTTTTAAATTTAAGTTCTGATCATTCTGGAGTTCATCTAATAGTCTTTTATAATATATTAGGCATGTTGGAAATCATTAGAGACAGAACAGTGACTAGTCTCTGTATGTATATCCGATTTTATTTTATTTATTAGTATTAGCCTGTCCTCTATTGGCATGACAATAACCAGTATGTATCATTCTTAACAAGTTGGGGAAGATAGGAAAGGTAAAATATGAAGGGAAAAGGCTTATAAGTTATAATTGATGAGTCAGTAGACAACATAAGAAAAAGTCCATTTTCTATCCTATATTAAATGAAGTATGATATTCAGTACCAAATAAAATGGATTGCCATGTCTGTCTGCATCTTTTTGGGATTTCCTATTTTAGAAGCTTTCATGCTCTATAATTTTCATTTATGTTAGAATATAAGAAAGACCAGACACTTTTTCTTTTTACTATATTTCTTACATTATTGTTTCATTTTTCTCTTCATTTGAAGAAATGTTTTGAAGAAGGATTTGTTAAAAAATTTTTTAAAACTTTCTATTATGGAAATTTTCAAATATATAGAAGAGAGAATAATTATAGTAAACATGCAATGTCTTAACACTCAATTAACATCTTGCCATGTTGCTTCATCTGCTCCTGTTACTCTTAACACTTTTATTTTGCTGAAGAGTTTTTAAAGTAGTTATGGGCAGCATGACATCTCACCTTTCATTGGTTAATGTCTTTTAAAAATAAGGAAATTTTTCAATATAATTACAGAACCATTGTATGCCTAACAAAATTAATGATAATTTCCTGAGATCTGTAACATTTTTTTTTTTTTTTCAGTTTTTGTTTTTTTGAAAAAGCGTGAATAACAGAGAAGGGCACCCAGAAATAAGAGGCAAAAGGCAGGCTGGAAAAAAGACAGAGTGAAGAAAATTAAAGTAGAAAGAAAGGAGAGAGCAGGAAAAAGAGGGGAGGCAGAAAATAAAGCAGAAATACAGAGAAACGAAAGAGCCATCTGTAACATTTTTAGATCTGAGTTCTAATTAATGAGCCTGAATAATATTATTAGTTGTGAATAATGGACTTAAGGAATAAGCAAGATAAAAGGAAAAACAAAGTATATAGGAGTATAGGAATGTGGCATTGGCTGGAACACAAAGCAGATTATGTTTAGGTCAGCATCAAAAATTCTGTCAGGTTCTTAGGTGTTCATATTAAAGTTGAGTGGAATTTAAAAACAGTGGGTTCTAAGTATATTTTTGAATTTGTGGTTAACTTTAGATAAGTAAATTTCTTCAGTTGTTTTACATATTTAGAACATGAGTAGTCTTATTTTCTGTGACATTGAGATGTTTTGAAAAAAAATGTACTTAATGTCCACAAAGATATTATCCTATAATTGCATTAAATTGCTAATGACAAGCTTGAAAAAGCAGTTTATCATAAGTAGAATACCAGATTATTTTTTCTTTGCTGGGGTTAAATCAGAGTGCTTAATTAGTTTTTTTAGTTCATATGTAGTCTGTGTAGTTCTATGTAGTTCATATGTACCTAGTCCATGTTGCCTTGAAGTTTGGATTCGCTTTATGTAAACTATTGGTTTTTCCTTCTTTCAGGTTGTCTTGTCAAAGTTCGTTAGGCAAATGGGTGACCTATTGCCTCCAACCATTTATATTCCTTATTTAAAAATGCTCCAGGGATTGGCCAGTGGGCCCCAGTGTGCCCACTACTGTTTTAGTCTACTCAAAGTCAATGGCAGTAGTCATGGTAAGAAAAATCTGGATGTTGTCTTAAGTTTGTTGTGACATTCTCGAGTTCATTATTCCCCTGTCTGTTAAAGAATACTGGTTATCTGTGTTAGGTTCTATCAGGTATATAAATTATTTTTACAATAACGGGGAAAGAAGTGCATTGGTCGCTTTCTACATAGTGATGCCTTGATTGTGGTCTCAGATTGGACAGTTTTACTATTTGCTTTGTAAAGTGCAATTTAAAATATCAGAATTAATACCAAAAACTTTTCAAGAACACATCTGTTGATCAAGATGAAATATATACCTTGCCACATGAGTTTCATTAGTTTATCTTCGTAAGTACTTGTCTTCTAAATTTCTGTACTTAGAGTTTTCTCTTCCTACTCCCCCAGTTTCCTCATTTAATTTTCAGAATTTAGTGTGGTTTAATCAAAAACACTGCAAAAGGAAAGAAAAAGAAATATTTCTTAAACATCTATTTTGCTAGATAGATATTATTACTTTCATTTTTACATGTGAGGATAGTGCGGCTTAGAGAATTAATTTACCCAGGGTCACAAGTGATTGGGAGCCACAACTGGAACTGGGATCTGTCTGGCTCCAAAGCCAGTGTTTTGCCTACCCTGTTAAGGCTTGCTTGTCTTGTATGCTCTGCTTTTGCTCCCAGGGCGTGTTATGTAATGGAGTATCATAATTCACAAATCAAACTGTAGTTCTCTCTCCATTTGGGAATGTAAGCACAACATTGGGAATTACTTGGTAGGAAAAGTAGCCCTTTGTAGTTACATGACAACACGGAGTTCCCCTAGTATAACAGAGATAATTTACTTTGATATTTGCTTGGGCATCATCCATTCTGAGGAAAAATGAATCCAGAGTTCTAGCTCTCAGACAGATTCTAAACCATTTTCAACACACTACTTATCTAGGATGAAAGCAGAGTTAATTGTTTTAAATTTATTTTCTTCCTCCATTTCCAAGAAATTGCTTAGACATTTTTTGAAGAAAAAATCGGTGCTTTCTTTACAGTTGAAAATATTCAGGGAGCTGGTGGCAGTCCTGTTTCCTGGGAACATTTCTTTCACTCTTTAATGCTTTACCATGAACACCTCCGGAAGGATCTTCCAAGTGCAGATAGTGTTCAGTACCGTCACCTTCCTTCACGGGGCATCACCCAGAAGGAGCAAGATGGATTGATTGCTTTTTTACAACTCACATCTACCATCATTACTTGGGTAGGTATCTCACAGCATGAGAGAGTGTGATTTTTTTTATAGTTTAGCACAGTGGAATTTTAAGGAGCCCCCAAATTTTCATTTAATGCTTAAAGTTTGAGTGACAGATAGCATATATGTAGGATTCTTTTCTTAAGCTCTTCACCTTTAGAGGGTATGGTTATCATAGCCCTGCTTATTGCCATAACCTTGTATGAAATGAATAGCCTAAGCTGAAAGAAAATAGAAGGGCAGATAAACCTCAGCTGTTGGATGCACATCCTCCTTGAAGGTTTTCTGGCATAGGTATGGATATGTGTGCGTGCGTGCGTGTGTGTGTGTGTGTGTGTAGTGTGTGGTGATCTGTATATATTCATGAAGAATTAATTGAAAGTAAGTTATTTATTGAATTATTCTTTTTATCCTTATACCAAGCTGCCTTGCCTGCCACTACCAAATTAATCTTTATTTAAAAAAAAAGCTATTTTTATTATATAATATCTGTGCTCAAAATTTCTTCTAGTTGTTACTGTTGTTTACTAGAGCAGAGTTGCTCAGTCTGGCATTCTCTCTGAAGGATAAGAATAGTGTGTTCTAACTTTTTGGTTTCTCTGATAATGCTTAACATTAAACATTAAAACATGAAGTTAGTAATTATTTCTCACTGAATTACAATGGAATGATGTTTGATACCATATATATCTTCATTTTTTTTCTCAGAATAGGTCAAGGTATTTATTCATTTGTATACTGTATTATAGTGAAATATATTACATTGTTCCAGAAAGGATTTAACATGTGTTCGTAAGATTTTGTGACCCTGGCAGACCATTTATCTCTGAATATATTATTTCCTATGCTTAGAGCTGCAAAACTAACTCTGCAAAGGCTATTTCTAGTCCATTCTTTACATTGGCTGAGTTAGTGATCTGATTTGCTCCACTGGCTGGCTGAGTGATAGGCTTATTATTGTTTTAGTGTGTATTAAGCCTGTGAATACTCAGAATACATGTTAGTCATTTAGATGATTGCCAGTCATTTTTCATAGCTTTTAAAAATTGAAAGTCATGCTCTTCTTGTGTTCAATTCTCAGAGTGAAAATGCTCGTCTGGCACTCTGTGAACATCCTCAGTGGACCCCTGTTGTGGTGATTCTGGGACTCCTGCAATGCAGCATTCCTCCTGTTCTGAAAGCTGAACTACTGAAGACACTTGCAGCTTTTGGAAAATCTCCTGAAATTGCTGCTTCCCTCTGGCAGTCATTGGAATATACTCAGGTAGTTTTACAAGCTGTCTTATTTATGTTGTTACAGTTTGGGAAGTAAGGCTTGATAATATCACAAAAGCAAGAGCATCCAGTTTGAAATCTATGGTAATAGTATGACCTTTTCAATTAGAAAGTTATAGTTTTGGTGCCAAGCATAGCATTAGAAACTAACAGGCTTGGGTTTTTCTCTTGGATCAGTTGACAGCTTCTCTGGGTTATTAGAGATTGGTTCTTCTCTTGAGACTTTGTTTTTCAATGTCTGTAAGATATCAATGGACAAAATTCCTTGACTCTGTCTTTCAGTCTAGGATCATAGAAGCCTTCACGCATCATCTGTACTCATTAAATGTGGGAAATGCCTGTTGTTGTTTTTTCCTGCCTTTTTCTTTTCTGTGTCCTTACTGGCCCCTACCAAAAGAGTGAAGTGTCTCTATTTTTTCTTTCTTTAGATGTAAGCTCTATGAGAATTTTTCTGTCAAAGTATAGTTATTCCATATATGCTAAAATGAAAAAGGGAAAATAAGGATGTGCTCTATGGAAATATCTTTAGGAAAATAGATGGAATATATGTTTGTCTTAGAAATAACATAAGTGAGCCTATGATTCTGACACATATGGACAAGGAAATGTTTAAAGAAATAAAATATTCTAGCTGTTTTCCAACATGTGTCCTTAAGATGTTAATGATGCTTTATAAAAACAAAAATTAAGGGAGTTGTTATGTGCCAAGAGGCTGGGGCATTTTTGGTTTGGTATTGACCTTCATTGTCTCATTCTTGAGTGTATCACTACTGAGTCAGTGGCCTGAGTGCTTGGTGCACCTGTTGGCTGAAAATGCAGTGTGATTGGTTTAGATGTTTTTATCCTTAGAGCAAGACTTTTTAAAAAATGATTCCACTTAACAGTATGTTCTCAACTTACAGGAGAGTCAGTAACATAACATGAAGTATAATTAATTATACCATAGACTACTTATACCCCTAGCAAGGTCAGGACAGAACATCTCAACTCAGAACTTCTGCCATGCATAAGAAATCTGTTTTTTATGAATTCTTGGTTTTCTGGTGCTAACCAAGAAAGGGTTGGTTGTAAACAGACCAGTGTCTTGAACAACAGTGTGATTTCTTGCTAAGAATCCTCTTAAGATTCATTCCTAGAAATCTGAAAGAAAATTTGCTGAAAGCACATCATGTGTGCACTTAGAAATGATCAGTTTTCTGAAGCTTAGATAATTGGAAGTTCAGTCTGCATCTGACACAGTTGCTAATGAAAGTCCATCCTGTGAGATAATGGATGCGGTGACTGAGGAATATGACTATTACATTGTGAAGCCACTACTTCTCATTGATGAATGACAAATGCTCCTAACATCTAATTCTTATTATTTCAAGATACTGCAGACTGTAAGGGTTCCAAGCCAGAGGCAAGCTATTGGTATTGAGGTAAAATTTTCTTTTTAAATTAAATGCTGTGTTCATATACTCACATGATAAAAAGACTAAGAAACTTATTACCTTACTAAGTTCCTATAATTTTCAAATTTAATGTATTCTCATTTGAAGTGTTTTCTGGACAATGTTGAAATGGTGATGAAGCGTTTTATAAAAGGAACCAAAATACTTAAGGTTTCAGAATTGGAAAAGGATGTTACGTGTCAGTCATCCAAACTGAAAGTTTGGTTTGGACTCAATTTAATTTGGTTACTTGTGTCAACCTGGACTGAGAATTAGTTGTCTTAGTTTCCTCTCTGTGCTCCCTCCCTTTTTTTAAAGGAACATTTAAGATTTCTGTTTTCAATTAGAAGTTGAGAACACTATATGGGAATTTGAAATTCTCCCATCTGATTGATCTAGATTTATACAGTACTTTTGTGTCTTTCCCTCTAATGAAAAATGGCAATATTACCTGTTATGTTTATTTTGGTGTGATGATCTATCAATATTAGTAAGTTAATGCCTGCAAAAATGCTTTGCACTTCAGAGTTGATAGCTTTATATTACTGTATTGCCTTTCTTTTTCTTTGGAAGGTTGAACTAAATGAAATAGAATCCCGGTGTGAAGAATACCCGTTGACTCGGGCCTTTTGCCAGCTTATTAGTACCTTAGTGGAAAGCTCATTTCCTTCTAATCTGGGTGCTGGATTGCGGCCCCCTGGCTTTGACCCTTATTTGCAGTTCCTTAGAGATTCTGTGTTTCTCCGATTCCGCACAAGAGCTTACCGGAGAGCAGCTGAAAAGGTAATGCTCCTCAAAGTAAGGAAGACTTTTTTCTCCTTGTTCATTTATTTGTTTGCTCTTTTATTGAAGGTTTAAGATACTGTAAATTCATGTTAGCTTATGAAAGCTAGTAAAATCCAGTCTTACTACTGAAATGTCCATGGTCTGATTTAGTTTATGTGCATTAAAAATGAGTTTGGGCATTCAAACCAAAGCACTGACTTTAGTTTTCAGTCATTTTATTGATACAAACTCATAGCCATTCAGATCCTTAACAACAAATTTTAACCAAAACTGAACTGAAAATGTCACACCTTTGTCAGTTGGAAACACAGTGTCCTTATTGGGATGGTTTAGTTTAGGGATGGAAATAAGTTTAAACTTGAATATTAATTTCTGTGGATTAGTAGCACTTGTGAGTTGTGGAGCCTTGGCTTAGTGAGAAGGCATATTATGATCCATTAGAAATGTTTGCCA